TACTAACCATTGTTACTCTCCTAAAATCTTGTTTTGAGGTTTTATAAATAAATAAATAAATAAATAAATAAATAAATAAAACATAAAAAAATAATCAGATTTGGGGGTAATAACTGGCATTTTGAAAAACTGGCAAAATAGAATTAACAATGTTGAAGTAAATTACAAGTAATAAGAGTAAGACTTTCACAAAATTTCTGTTTGAGTTAAACATATTTGTATGCTTGTATGCATAAACTATGCAATATATATTTATTGGGGGTCAGAGTCAGAAGTTTAAGAAACTCTGCTCTATAGGAAATACTTTATCCCTGGCTCCTTGGGGAAAAAATGATTTCTCCCCAGGCACAAAGGCTGACAGAACGGTGACTCGCTCTTAGCCTGGAGCTGCCAGAAGAACCATCAGAAGCTGTCGATGTCAGAGTTTTAGGATCCATGAAACTAGGTTAGGAGACATAGTAGTATGTTATCGAAAAGGTCAAGAGGTGAGGACTTAGTATTGTGTCCAGTGTTGTACCTCAGACAGATTTCACACATAAACCTGTTCAGATTAACAGATATCACTGAATTTATTTGCAGTCACTTGACTTTCTTCATTGTCCATGATAGTGACTAATAAGATGACGGATGCAGATATTGATCAAGCCATAACATTATCCCTTGTGGGAAAGCAAAGTGTTTATTTCACAAGCTTTAGATCTGTTCCCATGTTCTCACCTGACGAGCAGCATAGCTTCCGGGGGATCCTGGATATCGCTCTATCAGCAACGGTTGTAAGTCATTTTGCCACATTTCAGAAATACGGGTGCCTTCCACAGCTTGCCGAAGAGAAGAGGAATTCAAAATGGCTGGTTGGTGATGATTCTGAGGATTAAAGAAACTTATTTAATTGCCTATAATTTTATGTTTAAGACTTACCCTGACACATTTATATTAATACCTTTAAATCTCAAAGTAAAAGGACCATTTTTATGTTCTGTGAGGTAAGTTAAACTATTCAATTGTAAAACTGGCCCCTTACACATAAGAAGTTTTTTTGTGTGGGGAGCGTTGCTTTATTTTGTTTTGTTGTGTTTCGTACGGGGATTGAACTCAGGATCTGGTGTTTGCCAGGCAGGCACTTAAGCCACTGAGCTATCTTCCCAGCCCCACATAGGAAGTTAAACAAATAATTTAACAGCTTATCTTAAGAACAAAATTAACAGAATGCTTTGAGCCTAGTGTTCATATTGCATAATACCTGTGTTGCTTTTATTTTTTTTTATTTTTTTATTTTTTTTATTGACATCAGTTATTTTTATTTTAAAGAAAGAAAAAA